AAAAAAAAAAAAAAAAAAAAAAAAAAAAAAAAAAAAAAAAAAAAAAAAAAAATTGTCCAATTGTTACCTTTCTTCTGCCATCCAACAGATGTTCAGCAAATATTACTTAATAATAAATAACGCAGCGGCTTATTTTAACAGATTGCTAAATGAAGAATATGATATGACAATAATGATGTGGTAGGCAGAAGATAGTGAATATTGTGAATTACTAAAAAAGAATAAGTACAATAATCTCAACCAGAAAAATTCCTGCTCGTCCATAAAAATGAATACTTTGTGAATGCAAATGAATCCAAAAAAATTTATGTTAGCCATCATAGAACTTCCAAGGATAAATCTTAGCAGGTTGACTACACCAAGAATTGAACCTAATGTTGTACCGTCTTTTTTTTTTTTTCCCCCTTCCCCTCTCTTTCAAGTGTTGCAATAAGTTGACAAGAAGCAAACAGTACAAACACATCAAGAAGGAAAATAAAAGAAGCATATCATAGAGGAGAAACAAACAATCATGAATCATGTGCCTCAAAGACAAACATCAGGATACTATATAAAGACTAGCATATGTAAGTTGGAGATAGTTGTTCGGCATACTGTTTGATTGCTTGCCCAACGTTCGTAATAGTGAGTGTATCTTTCCAAAGAATTCTTCGCCATTTCTCTTCTTTTCTCAGCCTCGTCATACTACAATATTAAGCATAAAAAAATCAATTTCAAGGATAACTCCACAGAACACTACTGGAGTTGGTTATAGCTTGGAAGGTTCCTTACCACACCATCTTGCTTAGCTACCTCATATCGGTTGCAAGCATAGAAGCCACCAGTTCTTTCACCATGATCGGACCATGCACCAAGACACAGCCTGCACTAAATAAAATTTACGAAGTTAAAGAACAATCCAGTCATAATGTCCATCAAAAGATGCAATCAATGAAAACCCTTTTTTCTCTGTTTAGTCCTATTCACACAACAAAGAGTGGATATATACGATCAAAATCTGTCAAATCACCCGTGTTATGATCTTTCTACATTCTGGATCATCCAAATGGCCAGTTCCAAACATTAATGAGGAAAGGAAAACTTAGATTCCCCCCTGCCCCTTTTAGCTCAATATTAAGAATGCTGCCCAATAAAATATTTGCCCCAGAGGATCGGATTCTGAATTGTAATTAAACATTAAAAACTTGCATTAAGATAAGAAAAATAGAAGAGATGACTTCATTCCGTCCACAACATCAAAGCTTACCAGCAAAATTCAAATGTACACGGAGGTGTGCAAGTCATGTGCATGCACCCTTGATTTTTCTCAATTGGCCGCTTGCACTTTGGACAAGGCTTGGAATTAGCTAATATCCTGAAATTATAATATAAAAAAAATTAGGTTTCCAAAAAAATAAGCTAATTACTTCTTTAAACCTTTTCACTTGTTCATGCTTCATTGGAAAATATAAATGAAACTTATGTGCAGACACACAAACATAGCACGTGACTATCAACTCATTGTTAATCATGTTCAATGTCTTGCACAAGAACAACAGATGGAACAATGAGAATACAAAAGAAAAAGCACATGAGAAGAAGACTCCAGGAAAGCTAACATTAATTGTAAGGGAAAAAAGGGTCAAACAAATTTTACTTTAAAATCTTCAAAGAGTGTTGCAAAAATTTAAGAAGACAATGAATGCCCGAAGAAATACCAATTCATATTTTCAGACTCAGCACTGTTCTTTAAAATCCATTTTTCCACAGTTGCACAATCTACAGGACGGTGAGCTTCTTCTGTGCACTGAAGGTTCATAAGAAAAGCTAAATACGCATATAAAATAATTATAAAAGCTAAAACAATAATTTTAGAAAATATTGAAGATACCAACTTTCCAGCAAAAGCCATATGTGCAGAGGCAAGAAACATCATAATTTCCATTGCCGGCATCAAAGAGAACAGCATGCTCACAACCAGGTGCGGGGCACCATTTAGTCTGGCAGTATAAAGGAAGAATGTGAAAACAAAAACAAGAGAAAGATAGGGAAGTAACAATAAATAATAAAAGAAAATTGCAACTTTTAGCACAATGAACACAAAGAATAAAAGGAAAAAAAAAAAAAAAAAAAAAAAGCTACTGTTACCATAANTCATGCCATTATAAAACAAAGCTACCATTTAATATAATTCACGCATGGACTTAAATTTTAGCATGTAAAGGTTACTACACTAATCACGGGTATGGCTGATGGTTCTGCTAACATTTAAAAAACAAGGAAACACAACTTAAATAATCAAATCGTATGATTGAAGTAGACTCAGAATAAAAGTAAATAATAAGCCAACAAATCAAGTTATACCTTTTTGTTGTCTTCAACATAAGACCTAAGAAGGTAACGAGCATATTTCTTCCTGTCTTCATTCGAGACCAATGAGTTAATCATGTCTTGATCAACCACAGCACTGCAAGAAGGATCAGGACATCTCAACGCCAGACATCCAGGACCGTCATTAATTGATGTGGTAATGTAGCCTATCCAGAAATCCATGCACGAAACATAAAGATATTACAAGATCAAGACGTGTATATTAAAAAAAAAAAAAAAAAAAAAAAATTGGTCATGTGAACTAAGTGGAGTAGTTCCAATAATAATATAAAAAAACAGTCCAAGAAAAAATAATAGCAGACATTTTTGCACATGAATAAATCACAAAAGTAAAGGTTTGTTACCAAAATTAACTAGAAGTGGAAACAGATGTCATGAAAGTGATAAGGTAAATTAACACAAAAACTTACATTACATACATCTTAAGTTGGGTACATTGTGAAATTAATTGAATAGATATCCTCAATTCTATATTTATTATTCAGATTAATGAATAAAATCAGAAAATAATATTAATAATACTCAGAAGCTCAATAATGTATGTGAAAGCTTCTCATATTCTTGAGAGCGAGCAGCAGATAAGCTATCTAATTCATACCAACTCCTGATTGTTAAGACCGTGAGTAGTTAATGATTGGGAAGGCTATACGGATTGTAGAATTGGATTTCCTTGACAAGCATCTGGACAAAGCCAAGCATGCAAAAAGTAGATTTTGTGTTCATATGCTATGCCTAAAAGTCAGTATTCCAGCAAATATATGTACTCAGCAAAGACCGCCTTAATAAAGAATATAATAAACTATAATTAATGTCCAGAACATGAAGAACTTAAATAACTTGAACATAATTCGCGTTATAGGTCCTTGCACAGAATAGAAACATATATTGATACTTCATTAGAAATTTATGACACTGTAAAAAAGAATTATGGCAAACCTTCCCAGCAGTTGGCACAGAAAGGATGACCACAGGCGGCTGACTTGATCCTACTATTTGGATAGGACTCAAAACAGATTCCACAGGTTCGCTGCCAGAAAAGGCAACCGTCAAGATATTTTCGAAGTGTTATGCAATCAAAATACACCAACACAACTTTCATAAGAAACCAAGACAAGGATGTGGATTCAAATATCTTCATTTCTTACTTCTCTAGCATTTAGGACATGTACAACAGGTGCTTCCAACAAGCCAACTTGCTTCCTTACACTAGTTTCATCAGCAAACCATTCATCATGGACTTTAGTAACACTCCTGCGTGGCAAATTGATAACATATATATAAAAACATGCATGATTACGGAAACCTTCAATGTATATTTCAAAAAACAGGGAAATGCTTTTTTACCACAAAATGTTTGCTTGCTTATAGGAAACCAAGACAATCACAAAGAGAAAACAGAGAAGAAATGCCTAGACCAGATGGACAAAAATTCAACAATTAAAGACCATACCAATTGAAGTGGCGGAGTAACACAATTGACGCTACACGTGATATAGAAAGTACAGAAGAAATTCTTGTAATGTCGTCCTCTTGGCGTTGTCTTATATCTGACTCATTTAGTATGGTATAATTTTGCTGCACAAGGACACAAGTTAAAATCAGTAACAATAAAAAGAAAAAAATACAAAGGCAATCACAAGATTTAAAACAAACTTTGCCTATAATTAATAGTAAGACGTCAGATTTTCATGGGATGGGATGGCTAGCATGGATCGAAGAGATGGAAAAAAACATGTTGTAATCGAAAAATGGCACCAAATCATCAATACTTAATGCAAGCTTACCCACGTCCCTGATATAGAGGCTTATTTGCACACTTACCACGTTCAAACCATAAAAACTGAAACAAATAGTAAAGAAAGGTTATGCCACAGTTTTATTATTGATAGAGATGTTCATTTAACCCGTGAAGCTGGGGCTCAAGAGTGGATAATCTCCGGATAAATGAGAGATGGAGGAAGGAGCGGAGAGAAATTTCTCCCCATTAGATAAACGGGGTGAGAGATGGGAAATGCCCCAGCCCTGCCCTAATCCCTACCTCACCAAACTTTGCTATACACACACACACACACACACACATATATGTACATACACATATATATTGGAGTACCACCTATCTATTCCGCATTCTAACACAACTACACAAGATGATGCCCTAACTTAGTCTAATGTGTATCCAAATAAGAAAACTATCCAATTATCATTTGTACCGTAAAAACCCAAGTGTAAATAGAACTTATGGAGTGGTAATAAAGTTTAGTTCTCCATCTCTGGCTGCCAGGATACAACTTCACATGAAAAATCCAAAAGTGAAAGATACCACCCAAAGAAAGGGACATACTGAACTCCTTTTTCTTTCAAGTTTAAACAGAGTAAGCTATTCGCTATTTGTACACAAGTTACCGTCAGTACTCCAGTGCGAGTTTCGTTACAAAACCAGACATACAAAATATCCAACTTTTCTCCCCGCCCAAACAACTGCATAAACCCAATACTTGTTCTTAGCAGTCCTCAATTTGGTACCAGATATAAACCCCACTCAGCCACTCGACATAAGAAAACCATATCACTTAAATCAACTTCAAGAGCAGCAAGGAGAACAACCTCGAAAACTAAGATTACCAAAAGATCAAATAGAATGATTAAAACCCATTCTTATCTCAAAGATCACTGCCTAGCCGCCAAAAGAGATCAAAATTTCCCGTCAATTTACCTACTTTTCAGAAACGACAAAAAAAAAAAAAAAGAAGCAAGGCAGAAAGAATTCGAAACCAACCTCGCGTCGACGTGAGTCGAAGTAATCATCGGTTTCGTCGTCCACGAAATCTTCAGCGTCAGGATCGTCGTCATCGCTGTAATAACCCATACCCATGTCCATTTCACCGCTGTAGAAATCGCAATCATCATCGACGGATTCAACGTCGGTGGAGTAATGAAGATCGTCCTCAGAATCCATGGCGGAAGGAGGAAAATCGTCAAAATTGGGATGTGGGAGGTAGCGATTTAGGGAATGGGAATTCAAGGGGGAGAATGAGGATGAGAGAGAGACTCAGAGTGGGGTTTTGGTTTTGGTTTTGGTTTTCTGAGAGAGAGAGAAGAAATAAGCACGAACTGAAAAGGGATTTGTGTACGCAAACTCAAGGGGTGATTTTGCAAATATGGCTCTTTCAAGGGGCCTCTCATGCAAATATTTCAAACTTCTTTTTTTTTATTATTTATTAAATGCAATTTATGCACATTTCAAGCTCACATATTTAATGCATTTATTTTCCTTATCAAATCAATAATTATCCATTTACTTGATTCCAAATTTTTTACTTTCCTATTAGAATTTCTTTCGATAGATATATATATATATATATATGTAACGTAGAGCTCTTATACCAATTATAACGACTCTATTTTTCTACTTAAAAGAGATTTGCTACCACATGTATGACATGATCTTTTTATGCCGAAACATCCATTTAAAATAATTCATAAAACTATGTCATGGACTTAAACGTTCGCATTAAAAGCCTTAAAACAAAACAACGAAAAATAATTAATGTGACATATGAATAAATCAAAGAAAAGATTAAACTAACTAACCTTAAACGTTTCTGAAGAGTTGAAAATAGTAGAAAATAGTCTAAGTGTATCAGAGTCAAGCCGGATTAGCCAAAATGTCGGCCTCAAGGTGTCAGAAAATGTATTCTCTAACCCCTTCAAAGGGCTCAAGTGGGATAAAAGGAAACAATTATTGTAATTTAGAAAATTAAGGGACGTGGACCACTTTTATTTTCTTTTCTTTTTTAATTTTAATTTTGAGTTCTTATAGCCTGCACGTATGCCATGTTGTGATATCGATCTTGTACGATGCACATGAACCTCCATATGTTATGCCACGTAAACTATGTTAATATATTCACTCTATATCTATGAGACATTAGTCAGCCATGAATGATAATCATGAAAAATATGATGAGTACTATGCATGTATGTCTCATAGGGATACTGACATAAAAAGAACAAAGGTATAAGTTGCATCACAAGTATTTTCTATGATTAAAGTTATGGTGACCTCACGCATTTTGTATGTTACATACATCGGGATACTTTTCCGTTATGATTAGTACGGAGACGTACACTATGACATATGCACACCATAAAATTATGTATTCTCCTTTCCCTCCGTAGCTTCTGGCAGTGTGAGTGTATGCTAGCTTGACAAGCAGGCCCAAGATGTATGTATACAAGCCCGGTGGATCCAAGTGTGTGTAGGTCCAAGTATTACACCTTTGATGTCATACATTAAACCTGCTCTCGACTTTAGGTCTCGAACTTTTCTAATCTTTAAAACGACTTTGATCTTTTAAGAAAAAAAACCTTTTCAAGAGTTTTGTCTCATTTTCTAGACTCTCAAAATGAATATGAGCTTCTTTGTTTATAGACTTTTAAAGGGATAGTGTGTGTTTGGGCTTATTAGATGAGCTTTGGGCCCAAACATTTGAATTTGGGCCGACATATATCATTTAATGGACCACTTATTTGATCTTGAATCCGACCAAGCTAAATTTACTCGATCATATAGTCACATGAAACACGTGACATTATTTGACTTCTCAACTTTTTAAAAGGTTGTTTGGTTGGAGATTTTGTTTATGACGCTGACAAAGAAGGTAGGAGAATATAATGCCTGTGTTTTGTATTAAATGGACCAGTACTTTTTAAAACTTAATACGACCAAAATAAACTATGGACAACGAATGCATAATTACATAAACAGACCCAAACATAGATTCCCAATAGTCCCTAGCCTGCTGGTCTCGTCCTCGGTTGGTCTGCATCATCTAAATCTGGAAAGAAAAGTTATAATTTTTTTATGAGTAATTAGATTACCAAATAGCTAGTTTATCATTCCAGAGTTCATAACTAATCTTTCCAGGTGTTTTTAAGTTTTATTCGTCATAGATTCCTAGTTCTCTTACTAGGGTCATCTATTCTTTAACGAGGTATCTCAGCTACCTCCCGCTTAGGTTATTATCTCATCTATTCTTTAAACAGTCAATATCATCAAAGCTCGTCATAACATACTAAGCTCTTAATCAGGTAAACAACATACTCACATGTTGTAAAACAAGTTAAGAACTAGTTCAAAGATCGATATGCTACTTACTTGGTTTCGAACTCCTTTTCCCCCTTGAATGTACGTTTAATAGGTATTCTAACACAATTCCTTCCTATTAGACCTATATTTTATCAATTTCAACATAATTATAGACCAATTTTGATAGGACAGGTCAAAAGGAGTCGAACGGGACAAACCGGGAGCCAAAATACCTGCTCACGCGCCTCACACGCCAACACAAGATAAGGGTTCGTTTATCACGCGCCTGATCCGCGCACAGTCGCACTTCCACTCGTGTCCTCCCACGCGCCTCGCGTGTCCTTCACGCGCTCGTCTTCAACCTCTCCTTCCTGCAATTTTTCCCAATCTTTTCCTTTAATACCCGTTGTGTCCCGAAACAAAATTCCATCTCTACGGCTCGAATTTAATTATTATTATTATTATTAACCAACACACAACAACAAATATAAAATACATATTATCATTATTTTAGGTTATTACAAAAGTAATTATAAATAATTAGAACGTCGCCAAATTAAATAATTAATATAAAGATTATAGCTGAGAAATTTAATAATAATAATAATAAATTGTATAATGGTAGATTAAATTATATTAAATAAGATATATTTATAAATTTTATATCATTATAATAATATATTAATTATACATTAATATGTCTTAAATTTTAATTTAATTATCCTATAAATTAAATTTTAGTTTTTTTAATTGATTAGTCATGATATTAATAATTATTTTGAAATAAATTATTTTAATAAACTTATATAAAAATTTATTTGTAAATAATTAAATAAATATAGTCATCGCATTAAATAATTAATTTAATTAATTATAAATGTTATAGTTAAAAAAAACAAATACAGTAGTAAATGATAATTTAATAATAATAAGAAATCAAATATGAAGATGATAGATATGAGGTTGAATTGGACTTTAAAGAGAACATAAAGTTATTATTAAGAATAATTAGTAACTCTGGCCTAAGTCGTAAATAGCATTACTATTGAATTGGTTGGATGAATTTAATGAAGTATGAATGACACGTATTTTGTGACCTCTGCACGTGACGTATTTTATGAATGTATGACATGTACTATGTTACGCTATGTTATGATATGTTATATTGTAAGTTAGACTATGAGATATTTATGTTACGGATCTTGTTGTGACTTTCATGTCACATGTTGCATAAGACCTCTAAATGATGTGTCATGCATACTACGTTAGCATGATTACTTCACGAGTATTATTGTGCTACGTATGTATTCATGAAACGAATGTACAACTTACATCATGTGTTTACGCCAACAATTTCAAACTATAATGATCTCATGCATCTAGTATGTTCATGTGTATCGAGATACTTCTACACTATAATAAATATAGACACATACATTACCATATCTATGTATGTTATGATATTATATGGGCTCGTTATGTGCCACGTCATTTCCACATAATATTTGTGCTAATCTTCTTTTGGTCACAACTTCCTCTTTTGACGTTAGATTTGAACGATTGAAAATACATTTGAATCGTGTTGATGAACTTTATGCCATAGATATTTTAAAACACTAAAATTATCCGTGGATAAGAACCCAAATTTTATTATGATTTTGAAACATTATTTCCGTTTATGTTTTTAAGTCAAAAATGTATTTAATAACGTTTGTAACTACAAAAACCTTAATATGACATGTCTCGATAGCTGTCAACCCAACTCTCACCCCCACATAGTTAATTAAGATATTAATTTTGTATCCAAAATTTCAACCCATTATTTATGGAAACACAATAATTCATTAAATTAATAAATTAACAATTTAGACTTATCATTGTGGCACATTTTTTTTTTATTAAATTAAAAAATGTCAATTTATTACATGAGCGAGTAAAAAAAAAAAAAAGAAGATAATATTAGAATTAAAGTATTTAATAATAATAATAAAATAAATAAATAAAATCAACGCGTAATTACTTAGAATTCTTCCAAATTTTATATATAAAAAAAGATTAAACAAATTTGATGATTAAGTTAAGTTTGGCCATCTGATTTTACTTTGTCAATGCCTTAGTCAACTTAAATTACATTTATCTTTTTTAATAAAATCTGGTAAGGATTTTTATTCCAACTTTACCCTTGGTTAAATTCGAATATGCCAATACAGCCGCCCTAATACGTGTCTAACACGGTTAATTGTCCAGGCTAACGTGGCGTGCTCCAACTGGTCATATTATAGTCAAACTAGTGGACCCCACATACGTGGCGTAAAATGATTAGTGGTGATAGAAATAATATCCTGAATCGGTGTTTGATTGCTTGTTCATTTATTTTTTCTTTTGGAATTATTGTCTGTGTGACAGACAAGCCACGTGGGAAATAATTGTCGTTATCTGTTTAGGCCTCTAGGGGGACTGAGACTAAATTTTTGACACGTGTCTTATTACATGTCATGTATGCTATGTGAACATGCACATAGCATACATGAAAGAAGGGATGAATGACACTCCCTTAAATTACACTTTTAGACTTTAAATTTTAATTTTCTTTTGTAAAAAAATAAAAATAAAAGATTTTAAATTTTTAAAAATATCTCATAAATCTTTAATTTTTTAATTTTATTATTGGTCCGGAATTCAATTAAAGCAAGGAATTTAAGAATATACAATAATTTGCGATTATTGCAAAAGTGCCCAAATTTGGGGGAAAAGGGTGCAAAATGGGTTAGGCATTTACCAATGCAACAAATTTAAAGAAATTATAACCTATTTTGAACCCAAAATAATCCAATGCAACAACCAAACTTCCTTGTTTGAATACAGAAACACCTCAATTATGGGATCGAATGAATGGTGTGATGATTTCATAATTTTAAGTCGAGTTGATATGAATCTAGAGACATCAATCATACGATATGAACCAAGAGTAAAAATGAGTATTTGTGTTTTCCTTAGTCAATGACTAAATTTCTTTGCAATTATATGTAGTTTAGGTTGCATGTAGAATCATTCAAGCTCGACATGATCGATCTTGCTTGTGGAGTGATTCGAATCTCATATAAGTGTTCTTGCTTTGAGATATTTGATCAATAAGAATCATTCAAGCCATACATGATCGATTTACTTGTGGAGTGATTTGAATCTCGAACAAGTGTTCTTGCCTTGAGATATTCGATCAACAATGTAATCTGAATCTTACTCCCTATGTAGTGATTTCCTTATCATTTGGTATCAGAGTTTTCCCTTGATTTGATTCCATATCACAAGTTTTTAGTGTAACGGAACCGGAAAAAAAAAGGGGTCGTCGGCAGAGCCGAAAACTGCGACGAATGCCGGAGTTTTCGCTCGCACACGACCCACAAAGGGCGGCCGAAGGCTGGGATGCCACAAAACTCGACCTCGACCTTCAGCCACCTCGAAACGACCTGCACGAAAACAGTGAAAAAAACAAGAAGGAACAGAAAACCCCGATGAAACTCTGGCGAACCCGAACCATACGAAATCGACGTCAAAACCTCCATTTTACCCCACAAAAATAATCACCGAACCTTTTACACCCATCAGGAGTAGATTTAGACGAATCCTTTACGTTGAATATCGTCGGCAAGGAAGACGGAACGTCGGACTTCCGAACTTCTCCAGATCCGGGAGTGTGAGGCTCTTACAAACAAAATTTGTACAAAAAACGGGGTTAGGGTGAAAAAGAGACTGGGGAACGGAAAAAAAAAGGACGTCGAGACGACGTTATCGAGGAGAGAGAAAGGTCACCGAAAAAACGTGCGGGCAATCGGGCGAAGAGAACGAAGTTCGACCCGAGGCCCGAATCCCATAACCCGAACCGAACCTAGTCCCCTTAGGTAAGCTCAAAACTCATAAGCCCAGCCCGCCTGCATTTTTCCTTCACCTGCGAACGACCTATCACCCGCGAACAGCCCGAGACTCGCGAGCGATCCAAAAACCCATGGCTCGACCCGAGACCCATACACACGCGTCGCTCTCTAATTGTGCCATGTGGCACGTTTACAGCGCGACTCCCCTCGGCTCCGGTGGCTTATTCGGCTCGGAAAACCTATTTCTAGCCCGTTTGTCACCGTTCCGACCCTCCCGGACTTAGTTTCGGCCCTGTTTAAGGTAAAATAGAATATTTTAAGGTAGTATTTCACAAATTCAAGTTGGGAATTAATTATATTTGTGAAATACTAACGAAAGTGACGAATGAACCAATAGGAACCAACCACCAATGGAAGCGTAGAACGTTCATGAGGAGCTAGAAGCTTACGTTATATTCTAGGGAGTACTTCGGCTAAGGCCTACCAAGTAAGTGGCTCACCCGTCGTAGGTTACACGTTAATTATTGTATGTTGGCATGAGCCCGTGGATTTGCACGTGTCATTAAATTGTATGCCAGTTTAATGTGCTTAAGTACGAACTCATGTGAATGTGAATGTATGCTATGCATGCTGCTTTGTTTGATGTGATATGATATGCATGTGACGATATGTGGTTCCTGAATGATTATGGCATGATTGTACGGAATACTTGAATGTAAACTGCATGGAAACATAACCCTGATAGGAATATGTATGATACATGAAATGAAAATGAGAATGACATGTAAGCATGAAACGTGACAAGGGGTTATGTACATTAATGTTAAATGTAGGACTAGTGGGGACTTCATGCATATTGTGTGTTCATGCATCTGGGGGGATACCCCTATCCCATCACGAGGATACAGACGCGTACATCCAATGGCAGGACAACGATCGTTATGCTTTGCATAGCGTTGCCTTGACGGTTCTAGTTTTAACGGGTCCCAGCATAAGGGGCTCCTAGAGTATGCCCACCGGATAAGGAAAGTGACCCAACGGTGTGCGAACTAGCTGGTGAGCCCATACTCGCACGTATGGGCTGTGTGTAGAGTATATGGTACATGTCCACGATTACCCGTTAGGACAGCACCGTAGGGAAAACGAAACGATAGGTCCCATCATTTCATTGTGTGTGATTGTTGCATAACCTCGATAGGGAGTCACTTACTGAGTATTCTAGAAATACTCAAGCCTCGTGATACTTTACTTATTCAGATAAGGGCAAGGCACCCATGTGACATCGACAACGACATCGTACACCCGGGACCGTGGCACATGCATAAGGTAGTTGTTATTTATTTATTTTTTTTTTTCATTTCATAGTCTAGGTTGAATTCGGTTTGCAACATTAGTATAAATTGAATTGTATTTGCATAATAAACCATAGGGTAGTACAAGACATTCATTTCGATTTTGTTCATTTTCCTTTATTTCAATAATGTTCTTTTCCTTTCTTTCCATGATAATCATTTTCTCTTTTATGAAGTAATAAAAGGCAAGTCTAAGTCGCATTTATGAACCTGACCCATTTAATGTATATTCCACCTTTCAAATATAATAATAATCTTAGATTAAATAGGTAAAATTTAGTGTCGTTACATTCGGTTTAATTCCATGAATCTAGTTCGATCCAAAATAGTAATAAAAGGGGATAAGCTAAATTGGGTTGGATTGCAATATCCGAACAAGGTTGATCAAGTGGAAAAAGCAACCAATCCAAAAGTTCAAGTGGTCCAAACAATACTTCTAACTCAATCAAATCGAACTCATGTATAAATTATGAGCAAAGGAAGCTATCGTGATATATATAAAATAAATTAAATTTTTCATTAACAATATTATCCCATAATACTTTGATTTATGAAACAAAACTAATATTTTATTTTAAAATTATGATCCAAATAAAAATTGTGAGTTTAAGGAATTATATAAAACTTTAAAAATTTTAAGCAACAAAAAAAGGAAATTAAAAGAAATTAAGTTGTAATTAAGGCGGAAACACGTGTAACACACCTGCAATCTTTTTTGATATCCTCACATAGCACTGTTCAGAATCCAAAATGACAGCCACAAATTTCTCGGCTCGTGGCTGTCATTCATCACCAACCTGTCATTCTAGCTGTCCATGTCATCATGGTCATGCATACACGCATTTCATGGTCCATGGATTCATCATCAAAATGACATGCATCCCATACTGACCCACTTAAGTTAAAAAAATAAAATAATAATAATAATAATAATTAATCAAATCATTATCGAGTAAATTCTAATTAAAAAAATCATTTTCTTAACCTTTTAAAAATTTTGAGTAATTTTAAAATGCTATTAAAAATTTAATAATATTTTTTTTAAACCAATAAAAATGGTATTTTTGAGATTTTTTAAAAAGTAAGAATATTACTAAAATTTTAAAAAATAATTATGTTTATTATTAAATTATATTATATAAATTTGTTTTTATCCGTTGGTTTAACGGGTGGGCTCAGCTTTATAATGCATCATCCCCCACGCGTTTACCCAAACAACCAAAATTCAAAGAAAAGAAAGAATGAGTCCGTTTTCATCTCAATTCGAATCTCAGATTTCTCCTGAATCCGCCATTGGAGGGGACCGAGAAGCTCAAATCCTCCATTTCCAATCCGAGTTCAACTCCGCTGACTATCGTGATGAGTCGGTTTCTCCGACAGACTGGAACAACACGAAAATGAAGAAGAAGACGAAGAAGAAGAACCAGATCTTGCTCGAGGGCTTTGTTGAGGATTCGGATGAGGAGAACTTAACGAGGACGAAGAGCTTGACGGACGACGATCTCGAGGAGCTCAAAGGATGTGTGGATCTAGGGTTTGCGTTTTGCTATGATGAAATTCCTGAGCTCTGTAATACCTTGCCGGCGCTCGAGCTCTGTTATTCGATGAGCCAGAAGTTTCTGGATGAGCACCAGAAGGTTCCGGAACATTCTCCGCCCGATTTGGCGGATTCTGTTTCCAGTCCGATTCCGAATTGGAAGATCTCTAGTCCTGGTGAGCCATTCGATTCGATTCTTAATCTCGGTATCGATTGAAAATGAGGAGTGTTTTTGAACTGTTTGTTTAGGTTGAATATGATTAAGATTGTTAACCTTTGATTTTGAAATGTTAACATTTGATTTTGAAATCATCGCTAACATTTGATTTTGAAACTGTCAACATTTGATTAAGATTGTTACCATTTGATTCGATTCAGGTGATCATCCAGAAGAAGTTAAGGCGAGGCTCAAATTTTGGGCGCAAGCGGTGGCTTGTACTGTTAGATTATGCAACTGAATAGACTGTTGTGAATGGAGATTTTTCAAGATTGTTAAAGAAGATGATCTTGAGCTTGTGTCTAAGTTTGGTCCGATTTTGATGATGAAGGAAGAAAGAAGAAGAAGAAGATTGTGAAGAAGAATGTCTCAGGTTTGAGATGAGGCAATGATTGAATGAATGAACGAACTTATGAGTCTGATTCAATTCTTTGTAGGTTAAGAAATTAATAAATTGTTCGAAGTAGAAGAACATTAAGGAAGTGTTCTTTCTCTCAAGATTTGGTTGCCCGTCGCTGATTATGTTTGCTGCTTTGTTAATTTGGTGACTTTCCAATTCCTATCTTAGATAGTTTAGTGGGTTTTATGCAGTGGTGAGAGCCCCGTCAGAGCTTCACCAACAGCCTTTTGCTTCACACCTCTGCATATGCTCTGAGGTAACTCTAACCTAACTCACAAGAATAGCTTTGTTTTCATATTTTTGTGACTTGTGAGTGCTCATAAATGCCAGATTGTGCTAACTATCACTTGGGAGCTGTGGGGGAGAGCTGCCTACTTCGTCTGGGTTTATGATGGTTAGCCCACGGCTACCTATATGACATGCTTAATATGTACGGAAAAGTTTTGTACAAATATTTCATAGCCATGAATTTAAATGTTCATGATAAATTCATCAAAACAATATTGTTATAACATAGAGAAAAATAGACAAAAACAAATTAAAAAAAAAAGTGAGGACTAGATGTAACTTAAGAGCCACTAAAACAAAATGAATGTAACAACCATATGTGATCTAATCTAAGAGCTATTAATCTCATGACCTTTCTTGCACGTCATCATCTGTATAAGGGTATCTTTATCTTTACCTAGCACGAGATGACATGAGTAATTTAAAAAATACTCTGTAAGTTAGACAATGTTGGAGTTGGGATAGTCATGAGCTTGGACTTTTTAATTCAAGTAAGGTTAGATGTGTAGTACTTTTCTACATATGACTCAAATATGTGCATATGGACCCACCATGTAGGCTTGTATGCATACCTTTAGGCCTGACTCGTTGGGCTAGTGCACTCTCATGTTGTTGTACACTATGGAGGGAAAGAATCAATATAATATCATGACGAATATAAATTTCGTTATGCATGCATCATTACTAACATAATGGAGAAGAATCTCGATGTATGTGTCATGCAAATGCATGAGATCTCATAAAATTAAAACATGACATATAATCATGACACCAATCATACTTCCATACTCTCTTGAAAGTGACATTGGTATGGTAATGACATATTTGGTACTTGTCATATTGACCATGATTAACTTACAAGGTATTATAATGTCTCAAACATGATTAAGTTACATGATATTATAATGTCTCATAGGCAAAAAGCGTACGTATTAACATAGTTTACATGGCGTGATATATGAAGGTACATGTATCAAATAACAGTGATAACATGTCATAGTTTCATGACATAGCATAGAGTACATGTTGTACAAACATAAAATACAGCACGAACAAGGGCCACATAGCACATGTCGTTCATATAACAAAGCTAATAGTGATGCTACTTATATGGTTGACCTAAGTGGAAGTCACTAAATTTCATGAGTTGATATTTGTTTGATTCTACTCGTCGAGATTTAGTTCTGAACCTCACTCCAAATCGGCTTCCTCCACTTTGTTTCTTCTTCTCCATCTTTTTTCTTTCTTTTTTCGTTCTTTTTCTTCTCCAAATTGGCTTTGACTAGAGATAAAGAATTGATGTTTTTTTTTTTACTATAACAGAGATATCTTTTTCTGTTGTATTGTGAATGATGGTTGCTTTTGTGCCAAAATGGTTGAATTTTTGAAGTATAGGGACTAAAAATGATCCGCTTAAGAATGCAGGGACCAAATTGAATCAAAGCTCAAAGAAATAGCGACTAAGATACTGTATAAACTTTAATTCATTTATAAACATATTTTAGGTTTAAAAAAAAATTATGTAAATGTTATTTTATAATGTCCTAGTTTATAATATAGATTAAATTATATAAATGTTATGAATGAAAATAGGAGTAGGATCGAAAGTGTGATCTTCATAATATTCACAATATTTAAAAATAAGATATAAATTACCAACCAATGAAAAAAAAATATAAACTAACTAAATTTTGAGGATAAGATAAAATATACTGCTAATCAAACTCTAAGATAAAATATTAACTGATTACGAATATCTAACACATATTTAATAACTAATTATTATAATACGATCTCTAAATATTATATCTTAATAATAAATTATCTTTTAACCTTTGTACTTCCTTAAAAAATGTAAACATACTTTATGGGCCAAGATACGTTTGACACGAGTGTTCGTTCCACGTGTTCGACCCAACCCAACTCTAATCCGTGCACACTCCTACCTCATAATCAACCCACTAACCAACCTGATTGCGATTCTACCTCGCATGCCCCGGCTCAACTCAGTGTGCTCTGACAACTCTAATTTGGTTTATTTGGAGCTACAAGACTCATTCCTAATGTTTGGATAATTCTAGAGTTTTTTTTTTTTTAATTTTTTTTTACCTCTTTAGTAACAAATAAGGTCACGGTGACCTCTATTGATCCATTTAAGTTACTTTTTTGGCTAAAAGTTGAATTAGTTGACATAATTGGATGAGTTGAATTGTATATCATGTCCTAACTTGATGACATGGGTCTACATAGATTGAATTGGACTTCAAGTAGCATATTTATAATGCTCAAGCTTAATAGGTATGGATATTCCGTTGCTTCCCTCCTTAAATTCGAAAAATCAATAATAAGATTTTATTGTAGGTTGAGAAGAACGAAACTCAAGTCATTGAATAATGAAACATGCTCGGGATAGTTGTGGAAAAAAATGGTCAAAGTTAACCTAGGGGCTAAATGGTCATTTTGCTCATACTTCTACTCGAGGGATCTGGAGATGACTAGACATAATGAAAATAAGAAAAATAGGAAGAAGGAGGCTAGGGTTTTGGAAGGGAGAAGAAGGAGAAAGCCAAGAATCTTGGTTTACCGTCGATAATGCTCAAAATTAAGGATTCTATTAGCTTTAGGGGACTAAATTGAATATAATTGAAGTAGCACTTGAGGATTAATTCTCTTCGAATCGAGTTGCCCAAGACAAGGAAATTTTGCGTTCTAGGTTGAGTTTCAGACTTGGGAAGAGATCTCAAAATTAGCCTCAACCATGTCAAGTCGTCCCTTCGAGTTCATATTCCTATAGCTTAAGTGAAATATAAAGAGGATTTTCTAGGTTTGCTCCGGTGGAGTTCAAGTTTTCTCTCTAGTTTGGACGTCCATAACTTATGTTTTAGTCCACTTAAATTTAAGATACTAATCCCAAACTCTTACTTGACAATTCATCTTTAAGTTTCGTAAAGGAATCAAGGGGAGAAATACCCTAGAATGGGCTGGAGAAGGCTGTTTTTAGGCGGTAGAGATCAGACACGCACGTCTTCTGCTAGGGGAGGAAGAAGATGATGATGTGACCGGTTCAGCCCAAAATCTGTCCCTCCTTGATTTTCATGGACCATTTTTTGATTGGTTCTCACAAAATTCTCAATGGTTCCAGAAACTAGAATCACTAAGAAGGCCGTCAAAGAAAATTTGGAGAAAATCGAGTATCGGAAACTCATGAAACGAGGCCCCGAACACCGGACAAGAGGTAAGTAGCCATCTTGAACTTTTCTTAAGAAATACATGTACGAATCGCTTATATTTCAATATATACTCCAATTCAAATATGAATTAATGATACATGAAGAAAAACTTTAAGAGGTGAGTCAAGGGCTTAAACAAAACATTTTGCTCGAAAATTAAGTAATGTTAAATTGACCCCTAAACAAACTCCGTTTCATATGAAATTTTAATACCGGGCATATTATGGTTTGTTAAAGTTGTGAGAAATTTGGTAGCCATTGACCATAATGCCCTTCGCCCATAATAACCCTGTTTTACAACTTTTAAGATACCTATGTAATGTGGAACTCTATACACAACCTTGAAATGAGATTATCAAGGTACTAGTAAGGTTTCATGTCCATGAGATCTCGTTAGGTTGCCTTGCACTAGGATTTACTAGTAGGATGACACGATCATGATTGTACCACTCATGTGTTCATGAGAAAAGAATTAAGGGCCACTTTAGGGTAAGTTTCCACGATAAGTAAATGACATGCTACCCGAAGAGCTCTAAGTGCCAAGTGTCACGGTCATGCTCGTCACGGTCATTCTAGTGTTTTTACTTTGTAATTCTAGGGCGTATGACGACTCAAAAATATCATGTCTGGGCCTGCCAGACATGAAATGCCTCAGAATGTACTATAGGGGGATATGACTAGTTGTCAACTTCTCCCTACCCAAGGTTATATATGCTAAGCCGTTGTTATCTCTCTCTTGCTTGCTTATATAACGTCTCTTTCAAAAATCTCTCTTTCTAAAATCTCTCTCTACCCTCGTTTTCTAAAAGCTTCTTTTAAAATCGAGGCTAGAGGCTTGATCATACGTCGATTGGCCGTAGGCGACGACGCAAGAACAAATTGGCTTAGCTCACTTGTCGTTGGAAAGTGAATGCCGCACAATCACTAGTCCGCTGCCTTCAAAAGTGCGATTGTGTCAAGTGGTATCAGAGCTTTGTTAGCTTCGTGACACAGTAAAGACCGAAACCATGTTGGCGACAAAGTCGACACCCAAAGCACAAGCCGACCGGCTTACGCTAATAGAGGAGGAAATGCTGTTCCTCAAAGAAGTCCTTGACACCCTTCTCTTCCTGGAAGCACGGGTGACCGAATTGAGTGAGAAAGTCGTAGAAATCGACGCAATGGGCAACCGCCTAGATGGGTTGCCAATCGCAGAATTGATGTTTCGAGTGACCTCGCTCGAAGAAAGAGTTGCTCCTACGAGCAACCCAAAACCGTCTGGTAGTCTGGATAGCTCTGTCGCGCACAAGGAGGGACGTGGCGAAGAGTTCGACGTGCTACAAAATACAATGATGAGCTTGTTCAATGGATTAGCTGATGAATTCAGAACAACAATCGACGACATCCAAGAAAGGATGGCCTCCATGGGCACTCGAATTGAAGTGACCATGAAAGCCGTGGAGAACGTCACGGCTGGGTAAACTAATACAGGGTCCAAAAAACTAAGATTCCTTGATCCTAGAGCCTTCAAAGGGAATCGGGACGCCAAAGAGTTGGAAAACTTCATCTTTGATGTCGAACAGTACTTCAAAGCCACAACGGCTTGTACCGACGACAAGAAGGTGACTGTAGCCTCGATGTATCTCATAGACGACGCCAAACTGTGGTGGCGTACGAAGGTGCCAGACATCGAGGATGGATTGTGCACCATTGACTCGTGGGAGGACCTCAAGAAAGAGTTGAGGGACCAATTCCTCCCCGAAAACGCAGGACATACAGCAATGGAAAAACTAGTAGCCCTGAAACATACTGGAGGCATATGAGACAATGTCAAACAGTTCTCAACCCTAATGCTAGATATCAGGGGCACATCAGAGAAGGACAAGATGTTCTTCTTTATAAATAGGTTACAGCTGTGGGCTAAAGCAAAGCTACACGAGAACAAGGTCCAAACCCTAGCTGCCGCAATGGCCTGTACCAAGAGACTCCTAGACTATGGGAACGAAGCGGGATCCCAAAGAAGAATGACACCAGTCCCAAACACTGGGGGCAAGACATACAAACCACCAGGTCATCGAAATGGAAGCCCCAACAGACCGAACGGAGATAACGACAGACCAAGCGGATGGACGGATAGACCTCCTCAGAACAACCAAGCAGGGATATCTCGAGGACCTTACCATCAAAGGAACCACCCGACGACGCCTTTACAATGCATGTTGTGTAAAGGTTCCCACAAAGTATCTTACTGTCCTCATCAGGCCTCTCTCACTGCGCTCCAAGTGTCCATTAAAGAGAGCAATGACGCAAGGGTTGAGACTATGCTTGACAAGAAGGAAGATCAAGACAATTCCCGAATGGGCGCGCTTAAATTCTTGTCAGCCCTCCAACGGAAGGTCGAACCGAAGGAGATAGTAGAGAAAGGGCTCATGTTCGTAGATGCGACAATAAATTCTCGACCGAGCAGGAGCACTCTAATAGATTCAGGAGCGACCCACAACTTCATCGCCGATCAAGAAGCCCGAAGATTGGGACTCACTATAAGAAAGGACCCGGGAAAAATGAAAGCTGTCAACTCTGGGGCCTTGCCTATTGTGGGAGTTTTCGAAAGAGTCCCCTTCAAAATAGGGGATTGGACAGGAGAGCTAGATCTTGTCGTAGCTCACATGGACGACTTTGACGTGGTACTTGGGATAGAGTTCCTCCTAGAACACAAAGTTATCCCAATGCCGCTGGCAAAATGCTTAGTGATCACCGACCGCAACCCCTCAGTAATACCTGCAAGCATCAGGCAACCAGGTAATCTTCGAATGATCTCGGACATACAATTGAAAAGGGGACTCGCATGAGAGGAACCTACATTTATGGCCATACCATTGATGGAAGTAGCGACCACCGAAGAAACTGTCCCAAATGAAATCAAGGAGACTAAACAGCTATGCTGACATAATGCCAGAGAGCTTACCCCAAACATTACCACCTCGTCGAGGCATTGATCACGAAATCGAACTCATCCCCGGAGTTAAACCACCAGCGAAAAACGCATACCGGATGGCTCCGCTCGAGCTAGCCGAATTAAGGAAACAACTGGATGAGTTGCTGAAGGCGGGATTCATCCGCCCGGCAAAGGCACCCTACGGAGCCCCCGTACTGTTCTAGAAGAAGAAGGATGGGATGTTGCGTCTGTGCATAGACTATAGAGCCTTAAACAAGGTGACGGTACGCAACAAATATCCACTGCCGATAATATCCGACTTGTTCGACCAACTTCACAGGGCCAAGTACTTGACGAAGTTGGACTTACGATCAGGGTATTACCAAGTATGTATTGTCGAAGGGGACGAGCCCAAGACGACGTGTATAACAAGATATGGGGCCTTCGAATTCCTAGCAATGCCCTTTGGCTTGACAAACGCCCCAGCTACTTTCTGCACGTTGATGAACCAAGTTTCTACGAATACTTGGATCAGTTTGTCATAGTATACCTCGACGACATAGTGGTTTACAGCACAACCCTAGAGGAACACAAAGTGCACTTGAAGCTGGTGTTTTTCAAGCTACTACAGAACCAACTGTATGTCAAGAAAGAGAAATGTGCATTCGCACAAACATGCATCAACTTCCTTGGACATGTCGTCAAATGTTGACAGATTAGTATGGATAGCGATAAGATAAAAGCTATCCAAGAATGGAAGGTTCCTACTTCCGTATCCGATGTGTTGTCCTTCTTAGGATTAGCCAACTACTATAGGCGGTTCATCAAAGAGTTTTCACGACGAGCCGCCCCATTGACAGAGCTGTTGAAGAAAGACCACCCTTGGTCGTGGTCAAATGATTGTCAAATGACCTTTGAAGATCTGAAAACAACCATGATGAGGGGTCCTGTCCTCGGATCGGTAGATGTTACAAAGCCATTTAAAATAGAAATAGATGCTTCCGACTTTATCCTAGGTGGGGACCTTATTCAAGAAGGCCACCCCATCACTTACGAAAGTCGAAAGCTCAATGACGCCGAACGTGGATACACTGTCTCGGAGAAAGAAATGTTGGCGTCCATTGCCTTCGAGTCTGGAGACAGTATCTCTTGGGATCACAGTTCGTAGTGAAGACGAATAACAGCGCCATTTGCCACTTCTTTGATCAACCAAAATTGACGACAAAACAAGCCCGGTGGCAGGAGTCGTTGGCCGAATTCGACTTCAAGTTCAAACACAAAGCAAGAAAGAGTAATCAAGCAGCCGACGCACTGAGTCAGAAGGGCGAACATGCGGCCCTGTGCATGTTAGCCCATATTCACTCAAGTAAGATCGATGGATTGATGCGCGACATCATCAAGGAACATTTACACAAAGACCCATCGGCCAAAGCCGTCGTCGAACTAGCTAAAGCTGGGAAAATACGACAGTTTTGGGTTGAGGAAGACCTTCTGATGACAAAAGGAAACAAATTGTATGTCCCAAGAATGGGAGAACTGAGGAAGAAGCTCATTCAGGAATGTCATGATACCTTATGGGCCGGACACCCTAGGTGGCAAAGAACATACGCCCTAATAAAAAAGGGGTACTTCTGGCCAAACATGCGAGACGACATCATGCAATACACCAAGACGTGTCTCATCTGTCAATAAGACAAAGTCGAGAAAGCCAAAGTCTCAAGACTCTTGGAACCTCTACCTGTGCCGACAAGACCCTGGGAAAGTGTATCTCTGGACTGCATAACACACCTCCCAAAAGTCGGAGAATATGACGCTATCTTGGTTATCGTAGACCGATTCTCAAAATATGTGACGTTCATCCCCACTCCCAAATTATGCTCAGACGAACTCACAGCCCAACTATTTTTCAAACACATTGTAAAGTTATGGGGCATTCTGTCGAGCATCATCAGTGATAGGGATGGCAGATTCATTGGGACATTCTGGATCGAGTTATTCGCCTTCTTGGGAACAACCTTAAACATCTCCTCGAGTTACCACCCTCAAACCGATGGACAGACAGAACGGTTCAATTGCTTGCTCGAAGAATACTTACGTCACTTCGTCGACGCTCGCCAGAAGAACTGGATACAACTATAAGATGTCATCCAATTTTGCTTCAATTGTCAAACCAGCTCGTCTACTGGAAAGAGTCCCTTTGAAATTGTAAGTGGACGACAACCGGCCTTACCCCATATTATTGATCATTCTTATGCAGGGAAAAACCCTCAAGCTCACAACTTCACAAGAGAATGGAAGCAGACAACAGATATAGCTTGAGCATATTTAGAGAAGGCTTCCAAGCAAATGAAAAAGTGGGCAGACAAGAAGCGTCGCCCCCTTCAATTCCCAACAGGAGATCAAGTTCTTATCAAGCTGAAACCAGAACAAATCAGATTTCGTAGCCGAAAGGACCAGAGACTAGTTCGAAAATATGAAGGTTTGGTTGAAGTCCTTAAAAAGATTGGGACTACCACCTACCGAGTTGCACTACCTGCATGGATGAAAATCCACCCAGTAATTTATGTGAGCAACTTGAAGCCATACCACCTTGACCCAAACGACAACCAACGAAATGCAATCACAAGACCGAGCATCGATCTGAGGCAAAAAGAAACAAAAGAAGTAGATGAGATCCTCGCCAACAGGGTTAGGAAGATAGGAAGACCTGTACGGACGATTCGTGAATTCCTTGTCAAATGGAAAAATCTCCCTACAGAGGAAACCAGCTGGGAACGCGTCGAAGATCTGAACTCTGCCGCCACCCACATCGCAAGGTTTGAAAGTAGTCGGTTGACAGGGACGTCAACCAATTAGGTGGGGGAGGATGTCACAGTCATGCTCGTCCAGGGCGTGTTACCCATGGCCGCATGCCCATGGCAAGCCAAACCCTTGTCATGTCTTTTCATTCTAGTGTTTTTACTTTGTAGTTCTAGGGCGTATGACGCCTCAAAAATATCATGTTTGGGCCTGCCAGACATGAAATGCCTCAGAATGTACTATAGGGGGATATGACTAGTTGTCAACTTCTCCCTACCCAAAGTTATATATGCTAAGTTGTTGTTATCTCTCTCTTGCTTGCTTATATAACGTCTCTTTCAAAAATCTCTCTCTACCTTCGTTTTCTAAAAGCTGCTTTTAAAACCGAGGCTAGAGGCTCGATCATACGTCGCTTGGTCGTAGGCGACGCAAGAACAAATTGGCTTAGCTTACTTGTCGTTGGAAAGTGAGTATCGCACAATCGCTATTCCGCTGCCTTCAAAAGTGCGATTGTGTCACTAAGCCCCTCATAATCCAGTAAGACTTAACATTATAGTTTAATGTCTCGATCAAGAGTATAGTATGATACTTACTGAGTTTGTACTCATTCCATGTTTATTATTTTTTTTTCAGGTAACTAGGAGCTGGTCATTGACAAGAGCGGACTTAGGAGTGAGGGCCATAGACTAGCTTTTATGTTTAAACTTGGTTTATTTTGAGTCCGTTTCTTTTTTAGGCTCTAGCATACGCTTACATTGTATGCGTAGTTTGAATTTCTTACGGCTATCTTGTTTGCTGGGTTAGAACAATTGTCGTACAATCATTGTCTGGCTGCCACAAAAGTGAGATTGTGACAAGTGGTATCAGAGCCAAGTTGACTCCTAGAATCGTAGTATACAAACATGTCCGCTGCAAAATAACTAGGCAAGTCCCAAGCTGACCGATTGGTAGAGATCAAATACCATTTACTCTGCATGAGTGAAGTTCCTGATGAAATGAGGCATGTGGAGTTGTGGATGAATGGGATTGCCACTAAAGCCGACATAATCAATGAGATGGCAGGTTAGGTAATGATTGTCAGTGAATTAATGATTAGGGTCGAGACCCTAGAAGACAAGGCCACAACTGCTGGTGGATTCGAGTGTGGGGATAATTCGATGTGCTTTGTTGCCTGAATGGAGAATGCATCGAAGGCTTAAAATATGCCCAATAATTGATCGTTCAGATGGTCTCATAAATGTCTGAGGATTTGAGAGCAACTCTTGGAGTGGTTAGGGCTAAAGCGACGGATTTGAGCAGAAGATTAAGCCTCATCATGAGAGCGGTCGACACTAGCTAGGGGTGTCTCCAATTCAACAAGATAAAGGTCCTAAAGCCCAAACTCTTTTGTGGGGTTTGAGATCCAAGACTCTAGAGAACTTTATCTTTGACCTCGAAAAGTACTTTCGTGCCACAAACGTCGTGACAGAAGAAACGAAGGTCACATTAACAACAATGCATCTAGTTGACGATGCAATATTGTAATGAAGATCCAAGTACATGGGCATTCAATGGGCGATGTACGGTGGACTTGGAAGAGATTAAAACAAGAATTCCGAACTTAAAACAAGAATTCCGCTCTCAACAAAAAAAAGCTATTGAAATGAAATGCGATCGCTAAAGACGTTATTTCTTTCCTTGGAGTGGAGCTTGTAGTGTATTGGTTGGCAAAATAGTGGGATGCAATCTAGAGAAAGTACGAACATTGCCCATTTTGGAGGTAAACTCAACTTTGTTCCATGTGAACATTAGGTTCGGTCCTAAAATTCTAGTTCGCCTGTAATCATAAGGTCTTGGTCTCACTTTCCAGGGGCCGGTTGGGTGTGCAATACTTCTCTATACGTGGTCTATGTACGCATACACGGACCCTAGGGCTTGTATATGTACCCCTTGGACCTCATCTTTGAGTAATGTACACTCACACTATTGGAAATGAGTGCGCATAATAAATTATGGAATATGCTACATACATATATACGATATATTTAACCGCATTTTTGTTTTATTTACGAATTAAACAAAAAGAGAGAATTTGAGATATCTTAATCAAATATGTGTCGGAATTAATTGGGATTGACATTTGAATTAATATTAAATATTAATTGAATAGTTTAATTAATCATTTAATATTACTTTAATTTGAAATTAATAATTCAAATTGATTGTTGAATTAAAATGAAGGAAGTCAAAATGTTGACTTCATTTAATGGAAAAATCCATGTTAGTGGAATTTTGAGGTGTCAAAATTTGGTTTAACCAAACTTGCATGCTTGTCAAAATTTGGTGATTTCAAATTTGTATGAACATGCAAACATGACTCTATAAATAGAGATATTATAATACATGAAAGGTCTTCTTGGTGAAAAACCTTGAGAAAAAACTCTCACAAACACTCGCTTCATATATACAAAATCCCTCCCAAGTTTAAGTCACTCACTGGATTCCACAATCCCGTTCTAAGGCCGGAGGATAGTGGAGAAGACATTAGTGGTGGTTCGAAACCGGTTCGTGAGGAAAAAGGAATTTGAACTACAAAAGGTTAGTATTCAAACTCATTAAGTTTTAATACTTATGAACATGCTAGTTATTTACTATAATTGATGTTCTAAAAGTGCCTAAGATCCAAATTGCTTTCGCATGTGTTATATTAACACCATCAGAAGAGATCTAAAAGTCAACCTCAGCCTACAATACAGAGTTGTAACGAGTCGGTTGACAAAGACGTCAGCCAATTGAGTGGGGGAGGATGTCACGATCATGCTTGTCCAAAGCATGTTATTTTTGGCCGCATGATAGATGTCCTAATCTTGCTTGTTTGGGTCGGTTGACATGGACGTCAACCAATTGAGTGGGGGAGGATGTCACGGTCATGCATGTTCAAGGCGTGTTGTCAATGGCCGCATGACAGATGTCCTGATCATGCTTGTCCAGGACGTGTTGTCCTTGATTGCATGCTCAATCCAAACCCCTTTTACATGCTTTCATCCTAGATAAGTCTTTTACTATTTCATATTGGGTCAGTATGAGGGTATATGATCATTCACCAAAATCATGTCTACACCTGCAAGGGCTAAAATGACCCAAAATGTACCCAATACGATTAGTTGTCAACTTCTCCCTACCCAATAGTTATATGCAGTAAGCCGTTGTTGTTGCCTTTTGCTTATATTCCCATATAACACCAATTTCAATTTCTCAAATGTTACTTTCAAAACTCTCTTTCAAAATCTCTCTACCCCACTTTCTAAAACTTTCTTTTTGAGCTTCACAGAAGGCCTCGTACCAATGAAAATGTATTTCTTACTTATGAACCCATGACCATTGCTAACGTGAGACTCCCTCCGAATAATCCTCAACAAACATAACACAAGTCAATCAGTCCCAAAATAAATTATGGAACCAAACCTTGTTTAAATATTTTTCCAATATTAATATTTATTTATTTTAATATATTTAGAAAAGAATAAATAGAAATAGAAATAGAAAAAGAGGAAATCAAACCGATACTTTTAGATTGGTGGAATAGAAGATGGGGTCGGTTTGCCGAATCTTTTCCATTACGTTATCTTCCCCAACTCATCTTTACCCAATCATCGTCTCTTTTTTAAAAGGCAAACCATGCTTTCCACCTTTTTCAATAATTAATATAGTTAAACAATTAAGCTATAGTAAGGAAGTTCAGTCATATATATCATATTTGACTCTTTATTACAGTCAAATATCTTATATGATTGATGATATTTTGTCTTGCTTAACATAGGTAACATATTTGATTATTTAAATGATTATAAATATAGAATTTTTTCTCGGTGGATGATTTTAGTAAATATTATCGTAAGAATTATACATTAATTTTTACAAATTTTATAATATTTTAAAAAGTAGTATTTAATTTTTAGGATAAAGTTTTGTTCTATGAATATGGAGTGGAGTGATATTTGGATAGGTTCATTTGAAAAGTAGAGGAATTCTAAATCATCATCATCTGGTCCTCTCTCACACAAAACAAATAAATTTATCCTCATCTCATTAAATAATACATATTAATTAATTATTGTTTTATTAAATAATATGGTTAACTCATTAATTATCATTATTGAACTAATTTAAAAAAAAATTAATGCGTAACTATTAAATATAAATTAAGCCATATGGGTAGAGTATATAGCACACATTCAAGTTACCTGTTAGAATAGTGTCGGAGGAAAATAGACTGCTATGATAGGTCTCTCATTGCATTCGCATGTTATTGCATTTAATTCCAATAGTGAGGTTACTTACTGAGTATTTCTTCAAATACTCAAGTCACGTGTTACTTTTATTTTAAGTCAAGGAAAGACATTCTTGTACGACTAACGACAACATTGCAACTTGAGACCATGACACATGCATAGGGTAGTCGTATTTATTTTCTTAGCTTAGGCTAAAATATGATGTTTTTAATTTAAACGTATATTTATTTTATTTAGTCTTTTGTTGTATCGTCTTTAAAGGTGTTTTTAAAACACGTAAGTCAATAGCCGTATTTTAAGATGAATGTGACATTTTATTAAAGTTTAAATGAATTATTTCTGCATTGAATGTTAATGATATGTATACAATAGCAACCTTAAATTAAGTAGAAAATTTCATGTGTTACACTAACATGATTAGTAAAATTTGTAAATATTTAATATTTCAACTATAGATTTTTTTTAATAAAAAAATTAAAAAAAAGAAACGACCCGACAATTCAATAGTTTAAGAATGGTAACATTTAAGTAGCTAAATTTTAAATTTAATCGTTTAGTTTATGAACTTTTTAAAGTTTACCATAGATGACGTGAAAATTTTTAATTAAGGAAAAATAAATATTTTTACAAAGAAATATTTAATAAATATTCTCAACCTCTTTTATAAATTTTTTTTTTCCTTCCAAACCTCTATTTTTTGGTTGTCATATTTTATTTTATTTTATTTTATTTTATTTTATCCTCTTTCCTTTCATTACTCATAAATAAATAAATAATAAAATAATACGTTCCTTATTTATTTTCTGATTTCGAAATTTATACCCCTTTTCTCTCTATTTCCTTTTAATATTTCTCAAATAAATATTTAAATTCTTAACTAAATTCTAAAAAATAAAAATTAAAAATCAATTTATTTTTGAAATTTAAAAACTTGACTTAGGGTCTTAAAAACATTGATAAAAAAATTAATAGTAAAAGAAAAAGAAATATAGGTGAACAAAAAATAAAAAAGAAAATAGGATTATTTTATTTTATTTTATTTTATTTTATTATATAATTATCTAATTTTTAAATGGTAAAATTTGTTATATTTTAGTTTCTAAATTCCATTTTTCTCTCATAGGAATTGGGTTTTATTTAAAGAAATTAATTAATTTTGAAATTTCGTTTTAGGAATTGGGATTTTTGGCATCCATAGAATGATCCATCACTTGATGGCGTGATGATTTTTCATAATCGGTTTCTAAAATTATTCAGAAACGAGTTTCTAAGTATTATTAATAATTTGGATAAGGAAATCGAGAGAGAGAGGATATAGCCGAAGAAAGAAAAAAAAAGAAACAATTGTATTGCGGAATTTGACTTCGGGATTGGGAACGATTTACAGGAATTTGGTTATGCAACTCGATGATGTTCTTCAGGACGAAGAACAATTCGTCAAATCGCAACTTTGTTTTCTTCTCACATCTCCAACACTCTCACTAAATCTTTATGTCCATTCAGGTAAAGTGCTGTTTGAAGATCTTTGAACTGTTTTTTCGCTTTTTTTTTTTTTTTTTCCTTCCGTTCTGTCGTCTTTGAACTTTTCAGTGATTACTCCTTGCCTTTGGTCGGTTTGTCGTTTCTTTTTTTTCATCGTCGTCGTTATGTCAACGACTTCAATCGCGTTTTGATCTTTTCTGGCGTTTTTGTTTTTGTGCCTTTCCGACGAAATTTAAGTCTAATCCGTGTGTTTTTCTTGTTTTCTTATGTAGCTTTGAAGCATTGAATCGATTTGTTTTGTTTTCGTGCGTGATGAATCTTCCTTTAATCGCTACATCGTCAGGTTTCATGTGGCAAATTTGATTATTCGTTCTGCCGTTCTTTTTTCCTTTTTTGACGAATGTGCTGCTGATTTTGTTCGAAGGTGTATGTAGAGGATTTCTATCGGTTTGCCAATAGAAATTTATTGCAACCAATCATCGAATTGAAAGTTTCACGACGGCGGCGTCCGTGGAATTGCGTGGTTCTGACTGTTTGGTAGGTCTGGAGTGCTTTCTTAAAGTTGTTAGGGCCCTCGGTATGGGATCGTGCCTCTCTGGGGACCGCAATAATCACGCGATCCCTTATTCTGAGATCGCTTCCACTTCTCGTGGTGATGGCGTTGTTACCAGAAGCAACTCCAATAGGAAGATTACGAAAAAGAGTTCTTCTCCCTCTATCGACTCTCCAAGGGAGATGTCGCTTCATCGAGTTCCTGGCCGGATGTTTTTGAATGGATCAACTGATCATGCCTCGCTCTTTACTAGGCAAGGCAAGAAAGGCATCAATCAGGACGCTATGATTGTTTGGGAGGTTTGATTCTCTCCCTCAAACTTTGCTCGTAATATGTTGTCATTGCCTGTGAATTTTAATGGTTTAGTATACATTTTCTGTTGCATGTTCAAATATCCATGTCATGAAATATCCATGTCATGTGTTGAGTATTCATGTTTCATTTGCTTTCAGTTCTTCGTCGTGTCTGGCGTTTGGTTTTAGGTGGACTGTGATCTCATTTTAGCTTAGGATCATATTTAAAGCTGTGGACTAGATAAATAATTTGTTGAGCATCTGCTTTTGAACAATGAATAGGATGAAAAGTTAGGTTTAATATTCAGGTTATCATCTTCTTACGTTCTTCATGAATATGATTAAATTTTTTTAGCAATTTTTGTAAGGGAGTTGATGCTACATTTTTTCCTTTTAATATAAAATTGTGCAAACTGTATGTCTTTATTGTATACAGCTATACAACTTTATATTAAAAGGGGAAAAAAATAACATCAACTCCTTGACAAAAAAGGCAAATACAGCATTACCAAAATCCACTTTTCTATTAAAATTGTTGATATGGAATTTCGTGTAAAAGTGAATTGTTGCCTTTGTAAGGTTTCTATTGTCCATTGCTCTTAGTTTTCCCATGCCTACTCCTTTCAATGAATTTTAAAGTAAATTTTACTCTGTAATGTTTTATTTTTCTGCATATTTCTTTGTTACATCTGAATAATAGCTTCCCTTTTTCAGAATTTTGGTTCAAAAGCAGATACAATATTTTGCGGAGTCTTTGATGGACATGGTCCTTTCGGCCATATGGTTGCAAAGAAAGTCAGAGACTCTCTTCCTCTAAAACTGAGTGCACAGTGGGAATTGGGATGTCAAGTCTCTCCACCAGTGCTGGTTAACAAGGATTCTGGAACCTCTCATTGCGATCCTGGTCGTCTGGGCAGTTCCAATGACATTCATGTCATGTTGAAAGAGTCTTTTCTGAAGGCTTTTAAGGTGATGGACAAGGAGCTTAAACTACATCCATATATCGATTGCTATACCAGTGGTACAACATCAGTTGCTTTGATCAAACAGGTGTAAATTTACATCCATATATCGATTGCTTTGATCAAAAGTGCAGAGAATTTATATGGTTTGATCTTTTCTCTTTTTACTCTTCTTGTGATAAACAGGGTCGGGATCTTATCATCGGAAATGTCGGGGACTCGAGGGCTGTTTTAGGTACCAGAGATCAATCGAACTCTCTCATTGCAGTTCAGTTGACTGTGGACCTCAAGCCAAATCTTCCAAGTATGCCTTTACTCTCTTCACTCTCCCAGTAGCTATCGATGTATTTTTCCGTGTGTTGTCTTACATTTGTGTGTACATATGGTGCTGTATTTTATAATTAGTCTTTGTTTGTACCTTTCGCTATGAAGAAGTTTTTCTACAGAAATTTCTTCCAAAGCACCTTTCTGAGTAACTTGTTAGCATCTTTCAGAAAATCACTTCATTTTTCAAGTGAACATGTGCCCTAAAATTGGGTGATGAATATATGATACTCATCAGATTATATGGAATAAAATATTAAACCACCCATGTCTCTGAGTGTTCAGTGATTAAACAAATAGGTAATCAGGAGTGTTATGATGGAAGGGCATTTACCATCAAGTTTTTCTGATGAATTGAATGATCAATAAGGTGTCCTAGATACTACGTTTGATTTGATGCTAAT